ACAGAGAGGTGGCCAACCGATGACCTGGCAGAGGAGTATGAAGGAGATCACGAAACGCGTGGGTGCTGTCGGTGCTACTGGCCTTCCAGGATGGGGACCGCGTGATCCTCACTGTGCCTGGTTGGAGACACTACAAGATATGGCTGCCAACCGATGTCAGTGGCGTTCTTGTTGTCAGTTTCTATCCAGATTGCCTAAGTGAATGTCTGGAGGTGTATGTACCTCGGAATGATTGTGGTAGGCTAGCACTAAGTCTCCCCCGTCCACCTTTACTCTTTTTTTGGAATAAGGCTTTCAAATAAGTCATGGTTGTACGGCAGTGAAGCATCGGTGTTGAACACTGATGTCATGCTGTCGATGATGATGAGGTTCGGCACTGAAGCACGTAAAAAGAACGCCAATAATTCGAGCACCATACCCATTAATAGAACCCAAAGGGGCGAAGCTGGTCGATGAATCTTCGCCAACCTTACAAGTAGTATCGTGCACCGGTGAGGGGTGCTATATTCATTCACCCCATTATCAACCGGCCGAAAAGGAATAATCGGTGTGGCGTCTGACAGAGATTGGGAAGATACACATAGTTAAGTGGAGCGAAAGGATATTGAGTTCCTCCGCTTTTTGAACATTATTAAGGGGACCACCAATGGCACTGAACGGAATGCATAGCATGATGTTATACACCAACTATCATAATACTAACCAAGTACTCGTTTTCAGTGTAACTTACGTGGGTCAGGAAGTGAGCTTTTGCTCTCCTAGCCCTCGTTATTCGAAAAACTTCGAGACTGGATAGGTTATCCCTAAAACTGGAAGCATGCTGTCTTCGCGGGTGCTACTGTCTACAATAATCTTAAAAGAACAGTCACCAGATGAAAGACCACACTCCATAAAGAATCCTCATCAATTTTGTCCGTAAGCCAGGACTCTTGAGAGAAAGTGCCCCATTCTGAGGTAACCAAATGTTAGTTTTCCGTTTCTTCTTCGACAGGTTACTGAAAACCATCTTGTAAGCATTTTACTTGACTCCGTTGACTGTGATAATAGCCAAGTTACTGTTTCAATTTCACCGCTCTAAGCAGTTAACTACATTTGGTAGAAGTAATAATTCGGAAGCAAATACACACATCCAGTTGAATGAGATGACCGGTTCGAAGTGAAGTGAATATAAGATGGTACAGATGGGCGCCAGATGAAGCACATATGATAAATGCTAATAAATGCTTTAAAGTGGAACAAGTTTATTTAAACGAACCTGTTTTCGATCAGGCGCGCTAACGGGCGTTGAAACTGATGAAGACTGAAACTGCGTAACTCACGACGATCTGCCGACATGAATAAACCGCATATAGTTCTTAGGTGATTACACAGTGTTATGGAATCCTGAAATTGCAAAAAATAGGGAGGCAAAAGTTGGATCATTCGATTGTAAAGTAGTTTGCACGACCAGATATAAACCATATTCATATTTTAATCACGGACCATGCTGAAATTACGAAAATACAATAGAACATAATTTTCAGCATCATTGAGTACGTATACGAGTGTAGCAAAGCTTTTAGCCAGCGACGATCAACAGAATCGGTAAAAAGGTTTTGAAAGAAGGACAGATATTCTAGATGTCATACCTCAATAAAAAATTGGACATCATTTTTATTTCATTCCCGAATGTTAGAAGAGGCACACGGTATCCGATGGTCACAGTGAGACGTGGGAAACAAAATTACTTTTGTCGTTGCAGGGTTACAGGAAGAGCATGACAGGATGGAAAAATTGGTCACTATGAGGCAGTTTTACGGATGCGGAATGTTCCTAACAGCGAATTAACTCGAAGGCGTCAATATTTCAATGACAAACAACTTCAGCCGGGACTGGTTCCCAGTACCCACCTGTGGCTAGGCTCCCATGTGGGATACAAGCGTCATGAGGACAAGTAGAACCAAAGCAATTGTTGGCCACATGCCGTCAAATCAAAACACAAAACAAGCGAGCTTCGGCAAAGGAACCTCGCGCAATACATAAAACTGGGTGAGCGGAAATAACTCTTCAAGGAAAAACAAGTTTACGAACTGAATTTCGGCAATGGGCCATCACAAGAACGTACTTTCCAGATAGAGGAATTACTTTGGCAGGATATGACAACCACTCTATAATGGGTAGCAAAAGTTGAAAAGATTCAGATGTTTTAATAACAAGTAAAGGTAGTCACAAAAACGTACCGTGATGAATTTGATGAGTGCCGGTTGTCTTGATCTACAAGTCAGAAATGGCACATGTTTAAGTTGAGTTTCTGGGTTACAAGCACAATTCGAAAGCATTCGACAAGTAAGAACCCCCTGAAAAAGACCAAACAAAAGCGGACATTTCCGGTCACTTTAAAGAAGGAAAACTGAAGTTTTCAGAACGAAGAGATAAACCATGAATGAACGTAAACGGAAGTACACGGTGAACAACAAGAGCCACAACATACTTGACCGCACTGAAGACCTGCTGACAGCGATCGCGGCGCTGACGAACCGAAGACTGGAAAGAGAAGAGTGACAAAGCACTGTTAAACATATGGCCACGGAATATGGAGATGTCGACAGCTTAAGGATGGTGCTATTTCTTGGTTTGTTAACCGAGTCTGGTAACCAGGACCCAACGGAGGTTGCTCCCAACACCACAACCAATCAGAGGACCAGCTGACCCAACAGCGTACAGTACAAGTGTCAAATGGATCAATTAAGTCCAAGCGGCTGCACATCTAGCTTTCTGAAAACAAGACTGCTATTCGAGATATACACTCATTTGCAAATCAGTTTGGTCTTCACGAGAGACTCAATTGAATTTCTCGTTTATGATATTCTACAACTGAACGTGCTGCACACAGGCCGCCTCATGCTTCAGTTGGCACGATATTCGAGATATCGCAGTATATTTTCATAAAGCAAACTGAAGGAAGAGTTTTCAGCAACCATGTGAGTAGTTTCCTTAATGAGAAGACTGATATTCGTTATACTGCAAAGTGTGAGCGCTGAGAGAGAGAAAAAAAAGAGCAAACGTAGCAATCATATAATATTTTCTGCAGGAGTGAGATGTTTACTGATATATGGGGAACAAAACGAAAGATAAATGGCAAAAGTAATGGGGGGTACACAGTTAATTAGTCTACGGCACTCTGGACATTCGTTACAAGTTCAAACATTGTTAAGTTGAAAACGAAGTCCGCATGGGGTAGATAAATGACCTAATTTTTTTAATCAGATGAGAAATTTGAAAAACGACACCGATTACCCCTTATCCTTCCCCGGGAAATCCTGACAATTTCTTTCATTTCTGAAATATAGCTGGATCAACGATTCACGTTCAAATAGGAACGTGTTCTAATCCGTGGTTCGCAATTTCCAGTTCAGTGACTGTTCAATTGAACAAAATAGTGCTATTGGTAGCGATCGTCAATCCAAAACTTGTGTCCTTTCAATCACACTTTCATAAACAAACGCAAACACGCAGCCTAGCTGCCATGCCAACGTAAGGAGGCATGACGGCTGAGATACCATCAGGTTCCAGAATCCTAGACAGCAGTCGTCCAGAAGCTGACGTTGGGTTCGAACCACGTACCATCCGATCAGTAAGTTGGCGTCGTAACCGCTGAGCTATTTACTTAGTCGAATATTTTGTTGCGGTCATAAATAAGTTGAGGCGAAAATTACTGTAAATGATGAGGTAAATGTTTCGGCACTTACGTCGTTTAGAGGCATCAGGAACCAAATGGTCTGCAATGGATACGCCTCGAAAATCCGGACAACCAGGTCGAGTAATGTTGTGACAATCGTCGGTACCTCATGGCAAATACGAGAGAGTATCTGGCCAAGCGCCGTGTAGTATTGATAAGGTGGAATCTTCTGTATATTCTGAAGCATAATCTACAGGGTAAGTGGAAAACGGAGAGAATTCAAGTTGAAATGTTATCCACCCGGAGGTGAACCTTGACCGCCCATAAAAATCTTCACGAAAGGAAGGTTCCGACAACATGATACTACTTGCATATACACGCACAGAGCTGCCAAGGGTCTGGATGAGTAAATGCGGGGCGCGGGGGGAAGACATTTCAA